AGTACATATATAGTATATATTAATAATTCAAGATTGAATTATATAAAGCAACGAAGATCCAGCTTCGACTGTAATAGGCATTTTAAATTTCTAATATTGATTGTGTTTTTCACATATACGATCTTAAATAAAGATATTTCCAAAAATTTATATTTCATATAGTAGAAAAGAGACATCATTTTTCAAATCTTTTTTATTGATAACTTTTTAATGAACAGCGACCTCCACCTAAAACTTGCTGGAAGTCATTCAAGATTATGACCTTGACAACATGGCCTTCGTTCGTGGAGCGCGCTATCAACGCTATTTGTGTCATACTATTCTTGTTTCATGTTTAATGGATGATGAAGATAGAATGACATAAATAGTGCTAATAGCGTCTCCCCAAGAACCCATACCCAGTCCATATGTCAAGGTTACTGGCGTGATGTCCCTTAATGTAAATAATTACTGTTTATTTATATGATCACATCTACACAGTTTTGGAATATTATCAACTTAACAATTTAAAATGCAAACAGTGTTAGCAACATTAATAGTAATTTATATTGCCATTATTGATCACTCAACAAAATATTGGGTTAGGAAAAAATCTTTTTACATATAACCGACAGATGGAAAGCTAGTTGTTTTTTTATGTGCCACTATTGTGTGATGTATTAGGTTATATATCGTTGAAAAGGTGCTATTTCATATAACATTTTGAAATAAATTGATCATAGATTTGAACTATATATATATATACACACTTACATATACTGACGCATTCAATCAAATTTTAAAATGAGTGAAAATCAGGAACATTTCCGACATATTTTACTTTTTTATTATAAAATTTCGATGTGAAAGATGCACATTGTTCTGGTCGACCTGTGAAAAATGTCGATGAAATCTTCTAAAATATCGAAGAAAATCGTCATGTGAGTAACTAAGACATAGCTAAGCAGCTAAACATTAATCATAAAACCGTTTTGGGGCACTTGCATAAGGCTGGATACAGAAAGAATTTTCTCGATAATTGGATGCTATATGATTTGACGGTAAAAAATTTAATGGATCGAGTTTCCATTTGCGAATCGCTACTGAAATGAAATGAAATTGAGCCTTTTTTGAAAAGATTAACAGACGATGAAAAGTGGATAACACATAATAATAATGTTCTAAAAAAATTGTGATCGGAACGAGATGAGACACCATAAACAATCGCATTGACACTAAAGTAGGTAATGCTGTGTGTCTGATGGAACTGAAAAAGAATCGTCCATCATGAACTGCTGCCTCCAGGCAAAACGATTGATTCTGATCTCTACTATCAACAACTAATGCGATTGGAGTAATCCACTCAAGAAAAGCGGCTAGAATTCTAATTGGTCAATAGAAAAGGCATTGTCTTCCATCATGATAATACCTTTTCTATTGATCAGTTCTGGCCGCTAGGCCACACACATCTTTAATGATGTGACAAAAATTGAGAATTTGGCTAGGAAGTTTTGATACATCTACCGTGTAGTCCTGATCTTGCACCGTCCGATTACCATTTGTTTCGGTTTTTGCAGAACTCCCTTAATAGAGTAAACTTGACTTCAAAAGAGCCCTGCGAAAATCATTTATCTCGGTTTTTTTTATGGAGAAATCACAGAAGTTCTAAACCAATGGAATAATGGCTCCACCTGAAAAATGGCGAAAAGTCATTGATCAAAATGGCACATATTTGATTTAATAAATGGTTTGTAAACAATTAAAAAAATATGTTTCAGTTATGCTCCAACTTGTAAAAAGATTTTTCCTTAATCTAATATTTAATGATTTCCAAATCAGGACGAAAACAAAAAATTTTTTAATGTTATTGAAGTCAGGGAAAATCATGAAATTTTGTCTGGAAATCAAGGAAAAGTTTTGGACTTTTAGAATGAAGAATTTGTTATAATCCTGTTAATGTTAAATGTATCTACTTCGATGTAACAAGTATTATCAAGACTGCAATGATGATATTCTTTCGGGGCTGAAACCTGATGTAAAAAAACTAATTCCAACGTATGACTTATCTTTGACTGAAGCAAGTCTTGAATTATATCTTGTTCAAATAATTAATTGTTTATACTTATTTTTAATAAAAGTATGTATAGAGAATTAAAAGGCGCATTCTTAAAAGTACTTTTGAATTTTTGTGTTAAAGGAAAGTCCATAATGAAGAAGTAACACAAATTGATCTGATAAATAGAGCATCAATTATATTTTAAAGGTGAGAATATCATTTGAAATTTTTTAATTAAGTGCGTTTAAAAAATGCATGTTAGCATACTAAAAAAAAATAATGTTATAAATATCTGCGCTGATACAATAAGTATTATCAAGACTGCAATGATGATATTCTTTCGGGGCTGAAGCCTGATGTAAAAAATCTAATTCCAACGTGTATTTTATTTTTGTCTGAAGCAAGTCTTGAATTATATTTTATTTAGTTAGTTAATTAATTGTACTTGTTTTTAATAAAAATATTTTGTGTAGAGGATTAAAGGACGCCGCACTCCCTCTCAAGAGTACTTTCCAGCAACAAGTAATCGAAGACTACTTTAGCTTTATTTAATAGGAAGGTAAATTGTTTGTCAAACTTATTAATTATTCTATATTAAACTTTTCATTCGTGTAAAAAATCGAAATATTACAACTAAAAATTACCAGTTGCTTTCTCTTATTAATAATGTGATTGACATTCCGATAAAAAGAATTTTTATTAATATACTTGCGAGAAGAATAAGAAATATGAGACACAATTTTTTATAGTTTTATGCTGAACGTAAACTGATGAATAACTGGCTAGAGTCCTGAATGAAAGATGAGAAATCACTCGTTCATATACTGATTTGTAAAACGTGTTAATTTTTACACGAATATTCATTTACGAAAATAATCAATTTCTATTTGTTACAGCATTCTATACAATATGGTCCAGCAGTTGGAACTTAATTATTTAAATATCTATATTGATTTTTTATATTTGAATAAACATATTCTTTTATTTAAAAAATGTGTTAAATGTGATTTTTATTTTTTGACTTATAAAGCATTGTTATTTAATGGATATGAATGTGGAACTAGTAAGTGAGGAATATCAAGATAAATGGGTATTGACATTTAAGATATTTAGAAAAATATATATACATATCTCGTGAAAAAAGCTTTGACAAAACATTTTATTGTTAACCGCAGAAAAAGCCATATACACTTTCACACGAAATCGATCATAGTTCGATAATAATATTGAAAAATTTACAATAATTAAAATGTACATAAATATAAAGACGACGATGATATTGCACGTTCCTTTCGTGTGTGCCAGAACTGTAGAAAAATTATCTCGAATATCTTTCGCAACACTCGTTGAACAACTTATTCGGTGATAATACGGGCATGTATATAATTCCTTTCCTTCATTCAATAAGATGACAATGCTAATTGCGTTCTGAGGTGCGCTTTTTATAAATTCACAGAGCTTTGACTTCACACATGAAATGTGATATATTTAAAATCGAATACACGGCCGGAGCGGGTGGAAGGAACGATTTTTGGTGTTTTGCGCTTCTATAAATCTATCTAATCCTATATACTTTTAGCCGCGACGGTCAAGTAACATATAATATATTTTATATATATATATTTTATTTTTATTGGTACTATCCGAACGCAGCACGCACCTTTTTTGCTTTTTTAATATCGCAAGTTAGTACAGATTAACAGTAGCGATTTAAATGTTCACACGTTGCGTGCTCTATCGTATAAGTCTCTATTTGTTGTAATTTATGTAATATATACCTCTTTTTCTTCTAGAATTCCTTTGCGGTGATCTTAATTTTTTATGCGATATTTTATTCCTCTTACTATCGTATTGCTCAACCAATGCCACGAGAAACCTGCGCTCAACTTGTACCAATAAAATCCGATCGCCCTTCGGTTATTTCTTTCCTCCATCGTTTAACATTATCGATATTATTTCAATTATATTTTTATCTGTTAATACTTATTAAATATTCTTTTAATTATTGTAGATCACAGACAACTTGTTCTTAATCCATAAAAACAATTCAATTATCTTTTTTTCCCCATAGATTACCGATGTGTGTAGACTGTGCCTTTCACGGTGATGTATCGTGTATATGTGTAGGTATTGCTCGATGTGTGTATGATTGCAGAAATAGCACGAATTCCAGAGACGTAACCGAGATGTCGAGTGATAATTACATATGGTCTTTTTTCGCATCTCGCCCAGTTTATTGCCGCGTGGAACACCAATATTTTCAAAGATGGAGCCTCCAGGTTGTAAATAATCAAATAATTCATATATTTTCAGTAAAGTCTTCCAAGTTTTTCGATACAAACACTATAACTAAATGCTCACGGGCATTTCGAAGTATTACTTCCAGGATTAGTTTCCATGCGGCAAACGTTTGGTCGATATCCCAGGCGATGTTAACGCTAAAATCATAATGTAGCGTATAGCTAATTATGTTCACGGCCGACATTGAGACGATAATAAGACAAGCCGTCCTTTTTAAGCCTGAGAAATAGCACGAACCTTATTACGACTGATATTTTTATCGAGATTACAATTTATTTTCAACCATTGCGCTCCAAATACGTTTCACCCTTTGAGGGATGTCCGTTAAAACTTGTGTGCAGAGCAGCTCAATTTTGTCAAATATAATATTAAAATAAGCAAACTGTACATATTGTTGAAAAAGAAACAATTTAGTGACAATGAGTCTGCTCTTTTTAATTATGCTCTTAACACCTGTTTTCTCTCTTCTTAATTTCTTCCTGAAGGAATAGCGTATAATTTGCCTCGTTTGAATGCAGAAAGCGCACCTGCAAAAACAACAGGCCATATCTCGGGTTTTTCTCTCGAGAGAAGCTGTCTCCGTTATATACCGAACGTTTCTTCGCCTTGTGCACTCATATCGATTTAAATGCGCATATGTAGCAGTCGTAAGACTCGCGAAGGTACCTACGTTTCTCCGTACGTGTCGGTCAGGTACCTGAAAACCGTTAGAATTTGTGCGTGTGGAGATCATAGTATATGGACGAGGCCGCAACGGGGTGCGGGGGGTGGACACTTGCGAATCGCGCGTTTTTTTTTTATTTGCAAAAGCGTGTCGCCAGATAAAAGTGGAACGGACGTGATGTCGGTGTGTTTGATAAAAGTGTCTAACGATGCACGCGAGTGGACGCATCATGATCACACAGCAAGCGAATTACCTGATAATACTCGTAACGTTTAACGGTATTTAGCTCATAGTTTTACTGATTAAGTTCTTTAAGTTCATAGCTATAAACTCGTGACTTTAATATACAGATAGCGCGTGATGCCGCGAGTAGAACCTCGCCACGCGGTTTTTCCTCCTCTGCGTTCCCCAGATGGACGTCCGTTCGGTATCGTTGAGTGAACCAGAGGAAGCGTGTACTCGGTATGCGCTTCGTTGCAAGTTTGCATCAGTCGTTTTGCGAATGGCACGAGTCTAGTAACTTTGAGATTTAATCAGTTAATGGGCATAGAGAGAGAGAGATGCGATAGAGACAGAAAACATTTATCACTTACGTAAAAATAAGCTTCTTTAAAGTCCGCAACTTGGTGCCGCATGGATGAAGACGTACATTCCAAAAATTTACGGCTGGCACACAGGCAGATTTATAATCCGCCGTTGAAAATTTATCGCTTATTACATATAAATTTGCAACTTAATCATTATACATTTCTGTAATTCAGGAATAGTGCAGACTTTAACTTTTTTCAAGACTTGCGCCATTTTCAGAGCGACCGATTTATTTCCTCTTTACGCAGAACGATCATCTACCATCGCGGATACATCGTGGAAAATCGTTTAAAAATATACGGTGTATCCCGAACGCTACGTATACGACAGTAAGGACAGATTCTTCGTGTTTACAAGGATGCGATATACAGGCACGGGATTCGCGAATTGATTTCGGATCGCGAATCGTACTTAGACAAGCTACGAAGAAGGCATCGTGCGAGGTAAATCAATTTTGGCGGGCGGTATAACGACCGCGCCGCCAACGTTTAAACATTTGCAAGAAACGAAGAACTTTTCTGGCGCATACGAGCATCGCGCTGAAGATACCAGCGTTTGAGAGGGACTGCTGCTGCCTCTCTGGCACGAGTTGCGACAGAGTTATACGCACGACTTCGCAATTATTGAGCTATTATCGAGTAGGAAAAAGTACGTCGCGAAATATCGTGACTGCAAGTATAGTCGGCGCTTGTAATGGGGACAGATTTTTACAATAGAGAAATGGCAGATTCGTCAAAGGTTTCCTTGAATCGCCGTGTTATCGCGTACGATTCGAGTGTCTCAAGAAAGTACCGAGTTTGCCTCTGGTTCACTCCGTGAATCGCGAGGGTGGATTTTAGTCGATCCTGAGACAGAAAGATAACTTGGCTCCTCTTCCTCATCCTTCCTCGATCAAGAAAGCTTCTTCGGCCAACGCCTTTGCTTCTTTACGGACGGCGATGAATTATCGCCTAATGTGGTCTCCACGAGATATTATTCAGACCTTGAAAATGTCGCTTCAAACTGCTGCCGTCGGCCCAGGGGGAGTTGAGATACTCGTCGTCATCGTCTTGTTCAAGTTTCTGAAAGGTAAACATAAACGTGAAACTTGTCTTTTAATATTTTCTTAATAAGGAGTATCATCTCGGATTTATTTATTTCGATTCGGTGCTTGAAGTTGCAGAGCTTATTTATCGACTGATTTACGAGTTAAATTTAATTATTGATTAATTTAGTTATATTACAGTGAAGATTATATATAACATGAACGTAATCATCTTTAAACTTTTAAGAAAATCTGCTTTTCTCATTTATATTTAAAAAATAATTCATACAATAATATATCTTTATAACTGTGCATTCATAATTGCAACGTTACAGTATGTTGTCTTTTCAAAATTAGGAATATCGATTTAGCTTTATCGTGTGCCTTGACTCAATTCACCCTCGACGTTTCGCATATTCAATTCGTAAATTCGAAGTCTCGTTGATATTCCAAACTTGCTCATCTATGTGAATAGAGCGTGAACGACCCTAATACCTCGGTTTCTGCAAAGTGGTCGTGCAGTATTCGCGAATAGACCACCGCGAGAATTCGACAAGGTAGGCGAGCTCGCGGGGATTGTCGCTGGAAGCTATAGGAGGACTGAGAAAGCAAGGGGTGAGTTAGGCGGGGCTTGGATGGTTGTTGGGTCAGAATCGATGCTCGCGTCCTTGCTTGGTCTCAGCGTGGCCTCTCTCACGCATTCCGCATCAACGTCAAAATCGCAGGTCCACATTTGCGTGGGGGGTTAACTCGCGATTAATCATAAGCACATGTGCGAACTCGTGCCGCACGAAAACGTGCATGCGTCGAGCATATATACTCAGGAAAAGTAGGTGAATTGAACAAAGTAATTTGCTATGTTGGGTATTGGTTGTGTAACACATTTCGAAGCAATGAAATCTCAAATCATTCCCAAACAGCATAGAATTTGCACCAATATCGCTGCAAAATCTCTGCAATATCGCTACAACGTGTAATGTTGCAACAATGTTGCTGCAACTTCTGTGCAACTTTGTGCTGTAGGGGTTGAAATCAGTTCAGATATTAAAAAATCTTATTCACAAGGTTTAATATCTTTTCTCTAATAATGTCAAATTTAATTTTTTATACTAATACATAATTTAACTTTTTATAATAATATATGCTAACTTAAAGATTTTTGTAATTATTGCAGACTTTTCAGAAGGGATGAAAAGATTATTTAATCTCGATTGTGAATACGAAATGATTTTGATATATTGAAAGTTGAAAAGATTTGCGAATTTAATATATCTTCGTAGAAAGTTTTTGTTGAACTAGTTTTTTTCGGAAAGTAGGAGTTTCAAAAGTTATTTTCTTCATCTACTTTCCAATTCACGGAATAATTATAATTCTCTCTCGCTTTCTCACGCTGACAGATGACAGAATAAATTAGGGCGAAGTAGTATAAGTAGCTTTGCGTGAAGAATACTTGCTACTACATCTTCTTGACAAATATAACGGGTCAAACATTGTCGCGCGTGTAGTCCTTTTCAAGAGTAAAATGAATTATTTACGGATGTAGAACACGCTCATCCAGTGTTTACTTAAAAATGTTTGCCGATTTATTATCTCCACATCATATACATGTTGCAGAGATCGTTTATGGCTTTTTCTTGAGAAATGTTAGAAAAGTACACTTTTGTGTAGAAATATTACGAAAACAAATTCGTTACACTGTCATCGTATAACGGTACTTGCAAAAGTTTCCGCTTGAAAGATGAGACAATGAGGAAATAGGGATGTTTGATCGTTGCTTCTGTCGCAGCTAGCCTTTTGAACGGCATGGATGAAATCGGGGATACTTCAGATAGATTACTCTGTATATATGCTGCTGAATGATGGTGGGAGAAGTGGCGACTCGCAGTCTATCGCGCAGTCGTTCGACCTATATCGTCCTGCATCCCGAGTCGCTATTTATAGATAGATGCGCCGGTAGTCTGGTCGAGAGCACTTTCTGCGCCATCATTTTATTACGTCGATAGCATTTTAAGAACAAATTGTTTTGATGGAGTTAATCGCGAATTAAAAAGAAAACGTTACTGCAAGAGGTCGAGAAGAGACGAGATTTCCATATGGCCAGTGTCGCGTACTATTTCTGTAGCGATTCAGGAACATTCTGCTGAATTCGTGGATCAATTTATCTTCCGCAAATGTATCCTACGTTTGTTCTACGCCCATGAAAGCGACATTCAATCACGCACACGTTTGTATTTTGTCGAAAATCTGATTGTTATATAATTCGGAATTCTCTTCGATTATCTAATATTATTGGAAGATATATCTAGTATGTATCGATGTATTTTTTTAATGGTTCTGCAGACCGATTATTTAGAATCTGCAATTAATTATTATTACGATTAAAGAGGTACCAGGTGTACAGGTTTCTGCAAAAAGTGAATGGAATTGAAAATTTATACTTTCCGTATAAAAATGTGTTATCTACTTGTATCGTTACAATTACTTTTTTCCAACAAAAGTAATTATCTAACAAAAGTTATTCAATAAGAAATAGCATTAAAAAAAATCTTTTGAACCTCTGTGTTCTAATAGAAATGAATGGAAATTATGAAATAGTGACACAAATCTCAATTTTTTAATATACATTTATCAGGTTAAGCCTTATTCCTATAATAAAAAACTTTTTATGACATTTTCTATTTATTTTTACCTTAAAAATTTATATATAAAATAATATTCTATTAATGTCAAGAAAAAAGTAACGAAAATAGTAACGATTCGTTATTTTTGAATAACGATAATGAAGTACCTTTTGTAAATCAGTAATGATAACGAGTTACTTTCATAAAGTAACTTTTCCAACTCTGGTTATATGCATATAAAATAGTTCAAGAAGGTCAATGTTTTTATCTAATAATACAATTTTATAGTTTAAATAAAATTTTTCTCGTTTTATCTTAAACATCTCTTCGATATAGCTTATTTGGCCTTTCTTTTTCAATTCTTTTTTAATACTTTGTTTATTATTGCTTATATCGTTTTTATTAATAAAAACAATGCATTTGCTTGATATTGTTATATTCTTTAATGTCTGGCATTTTGATTAAAAAGAATTATTTATAACATATTCATTTTTATGAAAGTTATAAGCAATATTGATTTGGGTTGGGTTTGTTATATAATACTTAAATAAGTATTGTTCCCGTAGTATGGCAGTTAATTAATTATTTTTTAATATGATACAGAAAAATCGATAATTTTTTCATAATTTTTCATTTTATACTAAAAATGAAATATTTGTAATAAATCCTTAATCCCAATTAAAGTCGTGCCGGAATGACATACTTTGATTACCACTATCACGAGACCAAATTATTATTAAGAGAGTATACGTAATCTGACATATTTTTACGTATAATATATTTGACATCTTTTCGAACCGTATTGATTAGCATGAAACAATGTATACATAGGAGTTGAAGTATTACTTCTACCATTCACGTGGCAAATAAAATGGTCATTGTATTGATTGCTTATTTGTCACTTAAGAGGTGTACGTTCCAGCGAACGTCTTTACGTACAATGTCCTCAGAATGTCAATATTCGTAAAATTTACCGACCTGTTATTGTTAAACGATGCGTTTCCGTAATTGACAGTTGAATAGATATATGAATATTTCGAGTTGTTTGTGAACAACTTGTCACGCCAATTCGATTGCTCACAACCAATCAATTTTATATAGAACAGAGGGACGCTTGTTCAGGTGGATTATCGAACACCTTCGGTACACCGCAAACCACGAAGGAAATTGACTGAATACTAGTATGGCAACGTTATACTTGAACGTGCGGACTGTGGAACGACATTTATACACCCAGTGCACTATCTCTATAGCGAGTCGTTCATTCAGACGACTTTATGTCTGGCGTAAAATTATTGCATCTGAGCTAAGCACTTAGACGGAGGAAGTTAGCTCTTACAACATAAATACCTATCTGTGATTACGAAGCAGAGATAGGTAAACGAACGAGAAGAGAGTTCCGTTTTATTCTAAATTGTACCTCTGAAAGTTTATTTATTTTTTACGTTACGATCATTTTATATATATTTTACAGATACATTTATGCGGAAGGAAGAACGCGCCGCGGTAGCTTTTCCAGAGTTCAAACAGGATTATTATTTTTAGAAAATAACTCTTATGTCGTCGACGATTGTGGTTAAAGCGATTATATCTATTGACGCTTACAATTAGAAAATCTTTTCAAAGCCTTATAGAGAAGACCTACGAAGACGCTTAAAAGTGAACGACAGTCAACAAGTAAAATAGCGAGTCTGAACAGCCTCTTTATGTTGACCCGTTCCCAAATTCAATCGATAGCACGAGATTTTCGAAATGGTGCTTACCCCTGAACGGAGAGCGAGTTAGGAATCCCGTCAAGACTTTCCCTGCTGATGTCGTCGGCCATTGCGACCTTGAGTTGGTGCCCGAAGCTCGCCAAATCTTCCCTGAAGGCTTCACTTCCGGGCGTCAATGCACCGCTAGTGGGTGGCAAGGGTGTATCGGCGCCTTCCCCTTCTTCCCCTTCCTCACCCTCTTCACCACCTACGAGGACTACCTCGTCTTCGTTGTAGATCTTGAAGTAGGCGATGGTGAGGTATATCACCGAGATTATGAAAGACGGTATCGGAATCGCCATCGCGTACACAAGATTCATATACACCTGAGGAAGTGTTTCAAACATGTGACTAGAACTTGGCGGAAATTAATGCACATCCAGTTCTTTTATCCACACATCAATAGGGTTTTGTGGAAAAAATCCCACGAACGAATTTTGACTAAAAGATTAACTTAATTAACAAATATTTTGTAATCAATTACTCACTACAAGGTATACGAAAAAAATTAATTGATACAAATTTCAGAAATATACTATGTAAATAAATATTACCTCTGAATAATAACGCGACAAATAATAGTAAGCAAGAATAGTGAGATTGTATATAATTTGACAAATGATAGCAGTATAATCAGCTTCATAGAGATATTTGTATTGAAAAATAACTAAACGTTATTTTTCAATTAAACAATATTAAGTAAAAATCGACTGAGACATGTTCAACACAATTAAACGAAGAAAACCAAGATGAATCTTGGTACCTGATAATATTTTTTTTATGAATTTTACAATTTTTAGTTTAAACAAGCTGCTTATTATTATCATTATTATTGTTATTGTGTTATTATCATTATTATTGTTATATACCATATACTTTGGTAGTTGAATTGGTAAGACATCCGCACGGAATGAGGGAGATTCAGGTTTGAATTCCAGCTCGAAATGAATTCTTTAGTATTTTGAAAATACTTTCAAAAATGTTTTAAAGATGCTTAGTATTAGTAATATTAAATTGCTTATCAATTTTATTTATAATATTACATAAATCAGTTTCAGTTTAGAGTTTTTTGTATTTCAAGCCGATAAATAATCAGCGCGCAGTTTGCTTAATCCGGCTTTTGTTCCACAAATTTTTCCGTTGCACATATTTTACTGAATTTCAGTATATAGAGGATTTTGAAGTCGTTGATTACAAATCTGAAGTAAAAATTTAAATAAAATAGCGAATTCAATATAGAAAATTAAAAAAAAAAATTATTCTTCAAAATGTTATCGACGTAATGAAATAGTGATGTTTTTATTACAACTTTCATAAAAATTTTTTTATATCTCTAATAATTCTCAAGATATAATTTAAAAAAGAAGAAAAATTATTCTATTTATAAAGGAGCAATATCACTCTTTAAAACTGTTTTTTTTTGCCCCAATAATTTCTAAATTCCTATCATACATGTATACATAAAGTTTCATTAAAATCACAGAATTTAACATTTTTCTTGATAACTATTTCTTAATTATTGGATCTGTCAGCAATTTTAAAAGCATTAATATAGATATTTTTAAGATTATTATCATTTTCATTCTAACATGCATTTTTTTTTAAATTGTTAAATTTAACTCATCTTTTGCTTATAACTTATTATTAATGCAAAATCATTACATATTTATTCATGTGTACATATACAAGTCTTAGGGACATAAAATATCAAACTTACACAAATCAATTATGAAATACGTATAAAAACAGAAAAATTTTGAAGAGATAAGTATTTCATTATGTGCAACAAAAAATTAAAAACTGGAAATTGTAAAATTCAAAAATATTATTAGGTACACCCCTTCCCGCCCAAGACCTATCCTGACCAAATATGGCCTTCTTCACTTAATTGTATTCTCCATTTCATTTGTAAGAATAAATTGTAAAAATGTTACATGATATCACTGTGAAAATATCATTGCTAAGATAGGGCCGAGTTGATCCTGCAAAGTGACTTTTCTATAAATTCGGCGGAAGAATACCCCTGAGAGAGCCATGTTATTCGCGCCACGTGATCCTATTTCTTCCTGTCATCCATTCGTTCGAAGGATTGGCACTCTTGCAGCATCGAGAGTACGGCGGCGAGCTTTTCCGGGAACGCCGATGTTATCGGCGGTTTATAATAGCACGCCGGCCGCACACTTGTGGAAATTGGATTTCTGCGCGCCGGGAGAAATTTTCTTTTCTTCCGAGCGGCGCATCGCACGCCGCGATGGCTTCCGTCTTTGTCATCGGTCGCCTATTCAACCGCTTGAAATGCATTGTCCGTTCCTTGTAAATGGTCGCATTTCCGTCACCGTTAACGCTATTTCGTCGTGCCTCACGCTCGAAAAATCTCTCTTCCACTTTCTTATCACTTGCGATCTTTCGCATGTAATTTCATTGAATTAAATTTGAAAATACGAAAGATACGTGCAAATACAGAAAAATTTTTCTTATGCCGATTGTCTTAAAAAATATGGAAATTACGCATTTAAATTCAACGAAAATTAGATCGCTCTTAATACGGTAGGTGAGAAATTAATAAAGAGATAAATCCCAAATAGAAATAAACGAGACTTAGGCAGGTATTCATAATCGGATCTTATATTCAAGACTGTCTTAAGTATATAGTCTTAAGAAATTATGAACCAATTAGAGGGCTTCTTAAGACATTACTTAAGACAGTCTTGAAATAAGAACGGACTATTAATATCGCTCTTAGCATAAAATTATGATTGATCCAGGAATAGTCACCTGATGTATTTTAACGTAAACAATTACCTTGGGTTTTTATACTCCTAATTAAAATCATTATTATTAATCCCCCAACCAGAACATGTTATTATGATAATAAAACGATGTTAAAAATAATCAAAAAATGATCACTAAAAGTCATTTACGATTTATCGTGACTTGTTCTATTTGGATTTAATCTGCGGATCTAGTACATATAGATCCGAATATTTTCTTTAACTGCATTGTGAAAAATAGCTTATAACAAATATTTTTCACAACTTTATATAATTTTAAGTAATACAATCTTATTGCTCGAATTTTGACCTTTAAAATAAAGGAAAAATCATTCAATTACGTTAACTTTAAGTAAAGAAACATTAATTTAAATAACAGATTCGCGAATATCAGTTAAAGAAATTTTAGAGCGAATATCGATTATGATTAACAGCTATTAATTACAATAGCCCATTGTATGTTATTGATTATTTTTCGATTCATTAGCATTTGAAAATCTTGTAGATATGGATTTAATCACAATTTTAGAAAATAGTAAGTAGGAATTAAACGGAATATGTATGTTAAATAACTTATTATTTCTAAAAAAATAAAAATTTTAATTAATATAATGCATTTTTGTTGCAGCTTTTTAATGGAATTGCACATTTAAAGATTTGTAAAGAATAGTTATTTAAAAAATATATAAGTTAGTGTTTTACAACAATTCACATTTTTTTCGCCACCGAGGTGTAAAAATACCTTGGATGATTATTCCTGGATTAAAGCGACAATCAAGAGAATAACTCTCGGGAGAGTAACGCCGTGTTTCAACCGATTCCGCAGGAATTCATTACCGTGATCCATTTAATTATTTCATACGAAACAGTTTCGGTCGTATATTACACTCTATACTCCCGATAGGCAGCCGCAGTATTGATTCTCAAGTGCACGGCTCGTCCCAGTGTAAACTCGGGCAAAAGTCATACAGCACTTTTGCGTGATTCGCACATACCGATATACGCCGGGGTAAATCGCTAACTCGGTCACCGGGTTATAATACGGAGGCTAAAGCCATTCTAGTCTAGACGGATGCCATCGCGTTGCGAAGGAATTTGTACATCCTGGATTTAGGGTTGAAAATAGAGATACATAGACACGATAAGGAAGTCCACACGTGGAAAATATACAATAACGTCAGAGACCTGCCACATGTCGAGGTCGCTGATGACTATCCCGGGATCCACTTTCGAGTAGTAACAGCTAAAGTTCTGCCCTATGTTGGCGTACTGCCGGTAGAAAATACTGCAATTCAGCATTGGAGGGTATCCACAGCCTTTTACGTTGGGGAACAGCTTGGCCCCGGTGAAGTACCACACGGAGTCGTTGCCCATGAGACCTGCGAACTTCCCCTCGTTATTGTTCGGCGATGGGGATACTTTTCAGCAAGACAACCGGAAGAACAAACCGGACGGGGACAAAGAGCACGTGTAATGACTTTTATATATACAGTGCGCTTTCACATTCAGCGATGAATCGCCGACGTTTTAAAACTTATCTCTTCCGCGAATCGGCGAATGCCACAACAGTTTTAGTTCTCTGGCTTCGTTAAATCCACGCCTGTTTCTAGCAATTTTTACACGTAGTTAACCGGAATAATTCATCACAATAAAAATTTTTTAATTAATAATGATTATAAAATGGTAAAATATGATAAAAATACTTATTAATAATGCAATTACGAAAAAATAATGATTATCAGTCGTTTTGAAATATCGCTTTTATTCCAACATTCCTATTATTTCTGTTGGCTCTTTAACTGGATAACGGAAAGGGATTTTATAATTTCATATTTTCCATGTCAAATTACAAACGTTTCTGATGCACATGTGTAATATCAATTACACGAATAAATAACAAGCTCTTCCTTTCGCTTATAATAATTACGTTCTTTCAAAAAACAAATATGGATGGAACAGATTTAGACGATTGAGATAGGATTAAATGTAAATCCCTCAGTGATATTACTTTGTACCTGTAGGGAAAGATTTCGGCAGTCCGTTCTCATCATCCATAGCAAAATTCTCGTCGAGGTCCTCGATGTACTCGCCTAAGGAACGCTCGTAACGAGGCATCCGCTTGTTCTCTTCGTCATCCTCGACACCTCCTACCGCTCTGCCTCCCCCGTCCGCCCCATCGGACGTGTTATCCGGTAGTTTATAATTGACGCGTATTTGCGTGCAATCGTACAGTTCCTTAGTACAACCCTCTCTACAGGATGTCCATGAGCAATTGCTCGTACCTGGACTCAACGATCATTTATGGAAATTTGCGCGGCCGCGAAATATAATCCAAGCACAACATACAGAACATTCGCGCGTGAATAAATAACTGGAGAATGAAGGACATCCGAATACATGTACATACATACAGCCGTACATACACTAAATCGTTAGAATGAATGAAAGCGTGAGACAGCAGATTAAAAGGATGATGATTACATGAAGACAGCGCAGGGATAATTCTTTATGAAAATTTACGAGACTGAAGCTTAAAGCTCGCAACTGCGATTCAACAAGCATTATTCTGAATTATACATAATTCATTGAAGAATTTATGAATCGTTAATTTATTTCAGTTTTCTGAAAAATCATCATCCGCCGTCCGACTTGACATTTAAATGAAAAAATATCACAGTCGCCATTCAAATACACGGTCAACGCGGCACAAATAGGCATACATAATGCGAAAGAATAAACCACCGTATGAAATAAATACAGGAAACGTGCATACACCAAAGGCGATTACGACGAAAGGAGAGACTGTTGGAGATTGAACCGTCAGAAAGTGTTTTGCATGACGTAAGTTGCACGGAATTGTTGACACGAGGCCGGTGCTCAATCGTGAAAAACACCTGCACCCTATTGACGTCCGTGAAGAGAAGAAAATTCAAATGACGAAGGAGAAACGAGGAGACTCGAATGAGTATGAGCCGAAGGTACCAAGAGCACAAAGACACCAGTTGCGTCAATCTTATCACAACTCGTTGCGGCCTCTCTTGTAATTAATCATGATCGAGTCTTTTTTATATCTTTATATTTTTCATTTCTAAATCGATCCCGCAAATATTATTTAACGATAATGAAAGTCGCTGATTCTTTCTTCCTCTCTTTCTGATTTTATTTGAAAAAAAAAACAAAGAATCAAATTCTAATGGGCTACTAATGTATTGCGTGCGTATGTATTACGTGTAGGTATTACGTGTTCTATTACGATTTGAAAGAAGTCATCTGAATTATGTAAAGAAACGTTATATTTCCTGTTTTTTTAATGTACCTATATATGAATTTGGTATTTCGGTATTCGTCTAATAGCAAATAAAAATTTATAGGATAGTATTAAACTTTTATGTTACACATATTTACATATGTGAAATGGATGATTCGACATGAAAGGTAGATGCGTGTCATTGGGGAATAAAACATTCATAAGTTTTTTGTTACAATCTCCGTAGAATTTATCGTGATCCAAAGCGAGTTAGGAAAGTATTTCCCAAGTGGCAAAAGAAGACGAAGCAATTGTGATGGAACGACGTTCTTCGACGTTTGCTGTTATAATAAAAACACAATTACTTTCATAATTGTTATCCACGTGCTAATTTTCCTTCATTAATAAGAGATGGATTGCTATTTTATGCCAACTAAATAAATCATGATATGATAAATATTAAATTAAATGTCAGCTGTCCTGTAACGGACGTTCTTCGTCACTTTTTGTTTGGTCTGGAAATAGTCTTTCCAATCATTCATAAAACTCACGTATTTTGATGCTGACCTATTTTCGTAAATAATAATTTACGTCAGTTCTTGATGTTCGTTTATCATCTGTCCGTCATTTTCGGTCACTTTTGTAAAATATAATAATATATGATTTCTAATTTTTTTTTTAAAGAACTTTGTTTTTTTATAGTACTGTAAACAATTTTTTTGTTTTACAACATTTATAATATGTCTCTTTTATAATAAAATCAATGCTCGTTTTCAATATATCTACATATATTAACTTGAATCTCGGTTCATCTTTCTCTTCCTTTTATTTCCAATTCTTCGAACTGTAAACAGATGAAGAGTTAATTGAAGCGAGATTAAAGTTAAAGTACATTGGTAGAAACAAACGTAAATATGATTTTTTAAACGCGATTCTTTCTGCAACTTTAAAAGACATCTTTCATCACATACATACAAGCGCAAAATGAAATGTACGTTCATACCAACAAACACACATGCTTGGACATAGAAACAGAGAAACATAAAAGACTTAATTGCGCGCGAAGGAAGAATCTCAGAAGAGCGAAGAATAGAGAAATTCACAGTACACAGCATGCAACGAGGAGCGACAACGAGAGCGAACAGATGAGATAAGGTGCCGATTTTTCACCTCTTCTGGATTCAACATCGATGGTGACACACTCGGCGGGTCGAGTTTCGAACTGCATGAAGATGGTGGTGAAGGCGGGGTCGATAACGAAGGGGACCAAGAAGAGGAAGGCGAAGAGGCTGAAGGTGCTGAGGAGGATGAAGAACGCGGTCGTGTAAAACAGCAGCTTCTGCAAGAACGTCTGCTTCTCCTTTTCGTCCGCCATCTCGGAGAACAAACGGCAGTGCTGGTTTCGTGCTGGATACTCCTAAGCGACGTCGTCGCCGTCGTCGCCGTCGTCGTTGTCGTTGTCGTCGTCGTCGTCGTCGTCGTCGTCGTCGTCCTCGGCGTGCTTGCTGCTCGTCGTCAGACGTCGGACGTCGAAGAGACGGAACGATCTACAGACAATTTGTGGGTATTTGTCCTCTGTTCCGTCTAGAATCGCGAGTCGAGTTTTCTTTGTGCGCGCGCTCTGAAAGATCAGAGTCACGGAGTCACTCTCCGAGAGATGATTTTATCTTTCATGGAGATTCCTGGGGATTATAGTAAGCGCTGAAATACTTCTGTTAAATATAAGGTTCTTTCGTACGCATTTGTGTAACGAGCGCCATTTATCTTGATCACCCTGAAGCGACGTATCGATTAAACAACTTTTTTATCTTCTTTTGCGACGTACATTCGGTCGAATGATAAAAGAGTATAATTTTTTATATTATCTAGAGGTTGTATGATGTTGGTTCACAATCTATTTTATCCTTTGGCAAACTAGGGGCACGTGTATAGGGCCAGTAAATGGCAGTGGAGAATGGAGATAGGTGAAATCAATACAACTATCGGTGATGAATCTAATATTTTTTTATCGTGTTTATAGATTGCAGTAATCTTTTTCTTCTTCATAAAAAATTAACAATATTTTATCTAGCTCTTAAATGCTCTAAAGTTCTATTTTGTTTAAAATAAAAATGATAAAACTAAGCATTATGGAGTTCATTTAATTTCTCACAGTGTAATGACCTCATAGAATACTTTTAATTTCAACGTAAATTGACGTAGGTTATTGCAGGAAGCAAAGTGTCAGACAATTATGTGTTTCCAACTTGGTCTACGGCACTATCGGCTTTCGACACAATGACGAGATCGTTTGATTCTCGTTATAGATAAATGAAACGGACAATACCTATTAACATCATATAACTCGGTTTTCATCGAATTCTTTGAGGAATTCTTTGTTGCAAAGAAGATATCTTAGTTTCATAATAAATGTTTTATCTATTATGTTTTATTATTAAATTTTATTAATATATTTTACTTGATTTTTATATTTGTAAAATTTGTAATGAGCATTAAAAAGAGAAACACAGAATCTATGTTTATTACAATATTTGAAGTTTGATCACCAAGTTAAGTTGGTTCCTCAAGTTTCTCATCAAAAGGCAATTCGTGGACTTTTTCGCCGAAAATTTCTGATCTTCCTAAATAGAAATGAAACAATCATTCTCAGAATTGATCCCGACTTTTAGTTCCGAAATATTGCCTTATACGTTATTGGAGTTTATTTATATGGATTACACTGTCACGCATACACATTGCACGAGAGTCGATAAAGATAAAACTTATGTGGAGCTTTAAGGAGTTTATGTGAGTACACGTGGAGACTTAATCGCGAAGAGATTAAAGAGACTTTATATCATGTCCTTCGTGCTTAAAAGTAATAATTTATCTATACTTACACACCTTTTGTGAAAAATTAATTAATGTAAGTAAAAAATAAATTATTTATATATCCTACTAAAAAAGCGTTTTATACATCTCAATAAATTGATTAAAAAACATAAAATGAAATTTTCTACGTTACTAAAAATAATCTGTTATTTATCTATAAAAAATAATGCTTAATTTCTATTGTTTATTGAATTTTTAATTGAATTGCCAATTTGTGATATGTAACTGTCAGATCTAATAATTCCTTTACTCGTATATATAAATTTATATATGTATAAATATAAATATATATGTATATATTTTTAATTTTTTATGACACAAAAGATGCTAGTAATAACTTTTCCTAAGTTTGCTTTCAACGCAAAATTTACGTTGTAGGTTATATATCCTATTGTATAGAGTATTTCTATTGCAAGTCTATCTAACCTTTCCTTTGTCTAATGTAATTTTTATAGCATAGGGGATAGATAATAAAAGTCACGGTTACTTCAAAGTTGTTAACAGTTTCTAAAAAAAATGGTGTGAAAGCAATATTATATTCTTGGATTTTGTTGCAATCACTAATTTAAAATAATTATAATCGTAAACGTAAAAAAATAATATGACGTAACTTTTTTATAACAAGATATTCTATCATGTATTTTATTAGTGACAGCTAAATCTATTTACGTAATTCTTTATCACTTTTTTCACGCACACGCTTTTCAAGATTTACGTCAAAAGTAACATTTACTACCACAATCTGCAGACACTGGTAGTGTCTCGGCTAAGCTACGCGTAGCGACATTATTATTTACTCTTATAAAATAGAATAGAAGAAAAGAAATAATTTTGCATCACGTTAAACAATAATTTTAGAACATAATTATTTAAAATCTAAGAAAATAGTCAATGAAAAACGAATATCTTCGTGGATATTCCAAATATAAAACTTACAAATTTCTTATAAATGTAAACGTGTTTTTAAAAGCTTTTCTTCATGACGCAAACTTATACCCAAAAACAATGTGTTATTTTATGTATATAGTGGTCTTCGATTAATGGTTTATTCGCGAATAGGTTTCATCAGCTTGCGAAAATTTAAACTTCCCCCTTTACGAACATCCGCGATAATTAGCAATATTTTCGGCATTATATTTCAAAGCGCTTCAAGTTGCTGGTTCTCAAGCGGTTTGAACCCGCAAAGAATCTCAATCGGAGTGAGTCACGCAAAGAAAACTCGATCAGTCTTCTTTCGTTATTGGGATCGACGTAACGGTACCCCCTATGTAGAAGATGCGAATGCATCAGGGCTCGGCGCCCTCTTCCTGTGCCCCCTCATCATCGTCATCCACCTTCTGCTCCTCCTCTTCCCGCGTTCCTCGCTCCTCTGCCCACTTGCCGATCTCTTCGTCTCCTACTTCCGCGCACTATGTCACACTGCTGCCCACCGTGCACATTTGTCCCCGCGATAAGCGAATCACAGCTTTCGTCACGACGCCCTGGCCGAAGGGATGATTAAATCGGGGGCGCGAATAAAGAGAAGAAGGACGTAAGGGATGAAAGGGGAAAAGGGTGAGACGGAAAGATAAAGAAACGATATACCGTCCCACAATTCGTAGATCACGACGAAGTCCGCATAGCGTGCGTTTTCAGCGATGAGCTTTCATCGGCAGACTTCCTATGATATGAAGTTCGCGTGCGTACAAATCCTTCGTCCTGGCCGCGGCGCCGACGGATGCCGGGCTACTGCAGTCGGTGGAGCTTTCGGGCGAGCTTATTTTCTAGCGATACCAGCGCCAACGACGGTACCTCGTAGCATCGACCGCCACTAGTGTCGTCGACGACGACGAGGCCGACGACGGCGTGAAGCATCGCCGTCGTCCGGGACTACCCCTGATCACCTTGCGTTCCCTCTTCTTCGAAGGCGCTTCTCGCGCTTTCTTCCACGATTACACCCGCGGTACAATTTATTGCTGCTGCTGTCTTGTCAGACAGCACGCTGTTCAACGATTTATATCGTAACTCTCTCACGAATACATAATATCAAAGCTTTCTTTCCCCATCGTCCTATTTTTTCCCTAATGAAATTTCATTTCTCTCTCTCTCTCTCTCTCTCTCTCTCTCTCTCTCTCTCTCTCTCTCTCTCTCTCTAACGAAACTTTTTATAACCTTTAATCACATAGAGGAAAAGGCAGAAATGTTAAAGTTGATGATCTGAAATATTATAAAGAGATTTGGAGCTTTTTTCTAGAGAAGTATACAATTTTTTCAAATGTGCAATGTACTGTATAATTTATATTTATCATTAAAAATAGCAAGGGGTATTTAGCATAATGGAATTTTAAAAATTATATGTCCGTTTTTAAAGATTAAATCTTTTAATGGGAAAGACATGCAAGGAAAAAATTGCATTTTATCAATGCATTTTTTTTCTATTTTATGTATGAAACAATTTTGCAGATTATTCTGCATAAAGAATTACACGTAAAATTATAACAGTTGTAGGATAATTTTAGTACTCACTTTTAAAAGTGTATATTTACACACACACGTAAAATAAAGTCACAGGTTAAACAATCAGCACAAGTAAAAATTTATAATTAGAGTTAAATATAGAAATAGTAGTTGAGTATTAATTCGTCAACACAAATTATATACAATTTTCGTTAAGCTGTATTTTACACACACACACACACAATATATATATATATATGATATATATACAATTACATATATACATACATAAACAAACATGAAAATGCAAATATGTGATATATGTTATCATGACATTATGTAATATTACATAAATTTGTACATTTACATAGAAAACTATAAAATATATTTTTGTTATTGTATATAATTTTCCGTCTAATACAAAAATATATTTACACAATTAAAGATAAAAGTACTAATTTTTGTAAAAATGCACAATTTCATATATTTCTATTATAAATTGTGTAATTTTTACACGTATTATTTATGTAATTTTATACATTTTTTTTTACAACGTAGCATTAAAATTATCTGAATGATTTTTGTTTTTAATATTGTTGCTTCCATCTTTCCTATACTTTTTACCCTATTTCTTATTATTTATTCAATGCAATACAGCACCCTCGAGAGACTGTTCTACCATCGATCCGAGGGATTGGTCGAGAAATAAGAATAATGCGTTGTAATTAAGTCGGAGCGGTGGAGTTATGGATTTCGTCTTGTATGTAAAAAGAAATAACAGGGATTTTTATTACCCTTGTTCCAGCGTTACGACCATTGTGTATTTTAATCTCGGATTCTTAGGTCCATATTTATAGCCGTCATTTGAAATCTCGTCTTAAGGGAATATCAAGTGAAATCCTTAGAACAGAGACATTTTGAGATGCGAATGGTTCGATATAGCGACCTTTCGATTAGAGAACTACTGCGACTACTGGGTTGTTCTAAATTATTCGATTATTCATTTAAGATTTAACTTGACATTCAGATATTGATTAAAGCAGACTTATGTGCTTTTTCTTTAAATCGATATCAAGATTTATTTATAAACTGATATTTGCATGTATTCTTACTGGGGGAAATAGATTTATATCTTAGAAAAAGTCTTAAAATTGAAGAAGATAAAGGACAAAGAAATCAATATCTTTTTTATATGCAGATAGTCAGGTAACACTTTGCTTTTATTTGACGACCAAGTGCTGATATCCTTTCCTTTAAGAAGGAAAACCAATAAGTGCTTCGGTCTAGTTTGGAACAGTGACGAAGTCAACAAAACGAAGTTAAGCCCTTTGCTAAAGTTTGCTTCAGTTACAAGATGCAGAAATTTTAAGAGATTTGGTACTTTCGATCTATCATCGATGATTTCAGTGATACAAACTTATTTCAAGTATCTGCTTATTAATAAATAATTTATCATCTCCTAGGTGCTATTTTCCCAGATGGTTCGGAGAGTTATTATTATCGTGAATGACGTCTCCAGACGATCGGTCGAACGGGTCTCAATATTAATTTCCGTCTGACGACGAAGAAAGCATCAGTTACCGAGTAATATAACTTCCGCGTCAGTCGCATCGCTAAAATTGTGTAAATGCTTTTAAGAAGGATATCAACTGATTCGCAGCTTCTATTAAGACGGTGAATGCAGTTTATTGTATGCTTTTCGATACTTCGCGTCGCAAATGTCGCAATGGCTGCGAAATGTAGAGCACGGTTTGCATTTTGTGATTATCAAATTCAATCATGTTCAAATTTAGTTAGAGAAATTGAAACCATTTACACAATTTTGCTTTCAATTCGTAAAGAAAAACGAGATGTCAGCACAAAGAAAAGGAGATGTGATGACTTGAAGATGTTTTATAGAAAAATTGTCAAAAATCAATATCTATTTATATATTTTCAATTAAGTTTCTTAATTGCCCGAAAATATTAATTAATAAAGGTCTTATTCCTTAATATTAAAATATAGAGTCGTTAACAATTCTAATTATTTCTACAAATTTTAAATGCTATTTGAATAGATTCGGAGACTGTTTTATAAACCTTTTGCATCTATTGTTTAACACTTTTTCTCTTAGACAAACATCGAGAACATCGTCGATTATATTAAGATAAATAATTGAAAAACGACAACAAAATGAAAGTAGAAGTCATAAATTAATTAATTAAAAAGATAACGTTACATTTCCACGAATGCGTAATAACGTGAAAATGTAGAATTTTTAATTGTTTCTAATAAAGTACGCAGTATTTTCTCTTTAAAAAATTACTCTTTGTTCATGTGACGTTTTCTGTGAATTATCGTGTAGAAATAATAGAGCCGCCATTGTACTATCCTCTTTATCAGCATGGCACGAGATGCCACACTGGCATAGTGAGGCGGATTGACCTTAATGATGTAGCCGGGGATAGTTCCAGTCTGATTCGTCCCTCTCGTTGGCGGTCCTGCGGAAAATTTGGCCGATAGCCAGTAAACTGAAATGCAGGCCAACTCCCTCGATTATTTGTTTTTGTGCCATATCGAATGTAAATGATGTGCCAAGTCTTTGCTAATTGCCAGATTTGTACGAATCGATACTATTTAAATTTTTTGTTTTTTTTTGGCAGAAGCAAACTAAAATAACCTTTATACCAATAAATGTATATATTGGAGTCGACATTGAATAGACGAGGTCATGATCACAGAAGTGATTATAGAATTTCTGAATAAGTTAATAAATTTGTAATATAATAAACAAATTTAGATTAAAAAAATAGATTCCACTAGATTAAAACTTTTATATACGTATATATTATTGTATATTTATAATTTGGTTTTTAAACTAATGAGTGCGGAGCAACAAGTATAATCATAACGTTTTATTATAAAATTTGATTTGTTTAGAGAGAAATCACGCTGGACTAATATCCGATCTGATAACCAGGAATTACACGATAAACCCATTTCGCAACAACAATATGACAAAACGCTAAATCTCGTAAACCTTGCTTTAAAAGATTTTAATATCAGTATATATTACACAAATATCTACATATTTTCAAACAATCCTATTAAGGTAGCAAACCGACATGATTTGTCATATTAATACTAAAAATTGACGACAAATATCGTTACATTGCTATCTGGATATGACACTCCTATAGTTGAATATTATCACAAATCTAAAGAATAAAAGAAATTTTTCAAGTTAATAATGAACAAACGAAAATGTTCATCCGAGCATTCATGTACGAGCGTATATCTCCGCGCTATATTTTTCCATAGAGTATATAGAGAGTTCGAAATACGGAAGAGCCAAAGGGATGGATTATTGGAGATATCGGACGCCGCGTTTCTATTTATGGCCATGAATGCGTGCACGAGTGGGTGCAAATATATCTCTCGGACGAGCCAGTGATGTATCTATGCGATATAATCTTAACATTCTTTCCAATTCCGATTAAATTAACGACGCGCCCGAAATTAACTGCACGTGTTTGATCCACGTGTCAATCGTCGTCGTTTCAATCTGGAATAGTGACACTCGAGAGAATTTCGAGGCAATCGAAGAAAGCAGTTAATAATCTAGGATTGGGACAGTAATTAGGACATTCCCAGAATTCCTGCGTGCGTGTATGTGTGTGTATGTGTGTGTGTAATCAGTTCCTGCAAACCTCCTAATTGGATCAGCGAGTCAGTGATGTAAGTCAAGCGCTAAGAAATAGAATCGATCGATCTTCCAACTCCTTATTTTCCAACCCAAGCCGCTCTTCATGACGTCAAAGGGAAGAGGATCGTCATTTCTTTCGTGAAGATTCGCCGTCGATCGAAACGATTAGAAGTGACGTTGAGACAATACAGGAAAGCACGCGAGTGGGCCGACCGAGGGATTTCGGGTGTTCAGCGTGGGTTGATTCGCAATACAAATTTCACTAGGATATCAGATGATCTTCTGATTCTCATTCAAGGTAAATCATTTTACTGCCGCAATTGCCGTGATGAGACACCCGCCGATCGACGCGTGGGTGGTTCACCGGCACAGAAGCGTGGATGTGCGTGCCCGCCGCGGTTCGCTCGCTGTGACAAAACGATAGTGTTGGTAGCAACCCGATGTATTGATTTTGTGGTACAATACGGTAACTGCGAGGTGGAGCCGTTGCAGCTCCAGTACGACTG